CCCCAGTCACTTATAAATAATCACTGATAAAACAAATTTTTACTTATTAACAAAAAAAAAAGAAGATGAAGAACATGAATATGTTGACCGATAGAAAAGAAATATGTCTTTCTTTTTTTTTTTTTTGTTTTTTCATTGGCAAAGAGGAATGCCTCTGAGATTTTCAGTCAGCTCAATACGAGACTAACAATAGAAAAAAAAGAAAACGAGAGAAAAAAAAAAGAGACAGAGAAAGAGATAGAGAGAAAGAGAGAAAAATCTGGTATTGATAGTTTATTGTTGTAGGTCATTCTCTATCTTTTTGTTTGATTTAAAACCTAAATAATATTAAATAGGAAAGAAAAAAAATCAAAAGTCTGAAGTGATGGGTGGTACTATATCAGATATAGTTAAAGTTGTTGATGATGCTGTTAAACAAATAATATTACAAATCGATCCATCAATAATTAAATTTAAAAATACAACATTAACAATTCTTGATAATATTGAAACAAAATTTCAATCAAATAGTTCTCAAGCATTATCATCATTACGTCAAAATCTTCTTCTTTGGCTTTTTTTAACATTAATATTTTCAATACTTGTTTTAATTTTAATACGTTATTTAATTGATATATTACATAAATTACAATTTAGTATATTAACACGTCAATATTCAACATTATTTGTATTAACAATAATTATTTTTTGGATTTTTTTATCATCTATATTTGGAATTTTTATAAATGAAGATATTAATTGGTCAACATTAAAAATAATTATATTTACTTTAGTTTGTTCATTTATAATATTATTAATATTAATATGGTTTAGATTTTTATTAATTTATCAAAAAAAAATAATAAAAAAATTAAATTTTTTTTTTTGTCAATGGAATTTATTAAAAGATAAAAATAATCGTTTACAACAATCAACTATGACTTTACATATGTTAGCTATTCAAAAAAAAACTCTCAATGATCATATTCATCAAATTTAAATCAAATATTAATTCGTTTTTTCTTCTTTTCTTTTCTTTTTTTCATTTATATTAATAAGATTATTAATAAATTAACAAATTCCTTTTTCTTTTTCTCAAGAAAATATTTATTAATTACTAAATCTCTTCGATTCTCTAGAAAAAATCATTGATGTTTTCTTTTATCGTAAATTGAGATATTATTCATTATGTTATTATTTGCTCACAATATTTCATTGTAAACATTCGATGTTTAGTATTGTTTCAACATTGTCTTATTCTCTTATTCTCTTATTCTCTTATTCTCTTATATATTAATTATGAATGTTCTTAAAATCATCAAAAATCTATTAGTTCATTTTAATTAATTTAAATAAAATAAATTAAAAATGTCTATTTGAATCTTATTATTTTTTTCAGGTATATTATTAAGTTTAGTTATAATCTACGATGTGAAAGTATCCGTACAAATGTCTGAGGTTATTATACAGCGAAGATGAATCATAGAAATTGGATTGACATGTCGTCTGATAGAGTGAAATCAGCTATTTTCAATGGTTTGTTATTTATTTATTCATAAATCA